AAAGTAAACTTAAGAGTTGAAACAACTATTTTGATAATTCATATTCAAAATTTAAACGGCTACTTTGATAATTCATACACAAAATTAAGCATTAGTGAAGGATAAAAATTGCTATTCCTCTTACCGCCCCTGCTCATTTTTTTTAGAAACCCGGCCGGCCTTGCTGGATACGCTCCGAGGCTTTAGGCCTCTTGCGGTCTTCCCTACCTGGCGTAACTCTAGCAGCCCAGTCCACGGGCGCAGCCATAGGAAAACTTGGAAGCCCATAAACTTGCTCCATCGACTCCCGCATCGGGAATGAGGCCCTTCTCGAACTCAACCGGCAGTCCTCGTCACTCCGGCCGACTTCGCCTGGCTCGGTCCTATCTTGCTCATAGACTCGTCTCCGGCCCTCCTGTAGTCCTGCGCCTCACGATTCGCCACGGACGGCGCCAACTGTCGGTTCAGAAAGTGACCAACTAGTAAATATTTGTAGTTTTACTGCACGTTGTGATCGGAGGTGGCCTAGCACTCAATGACACATGATTTATACTGGTTCAGGCAACGTGCCCTACGTCCAGTCGGGGTCGGTTGGTGACTTTATTTCTGAGCCCAGGTGCTCGAAGTCTGTAGTGGGGTTACAAACGAGAAGAAGAAAGGAGAGGGTATACAAGAGGTTCGGTTGGCTCCGACCGGAAGGGTTGGAGTCGGCACTTGGTGGTCCTGCGGTTGTAAGGTGTTGATGTTGATCTAGTGAGTCTGAGCTTCGTGAAGTTGATCTCCCCTTCGTTGGAGGGAGCGCATCCCCTTTTATAGATGAAGGGGATGGCTTTACAGGTGAGAGGGGGAGAGTACAGATATTTCTAAGCATTGCTGCCTACGGTGATGAAAACTGGATAATGGTTGATGCCCTTCAAATACTGTCGATGTTGCTGTAGGATGTTAGATGTGCACGGGGGGTCGAGCTATCTTCTTCACGAAGGATGGACGCCGGTATCTGCAAATACTTCTTGATGCCTAGTGGCATGTGAGGAGCCGTGCTATGTTCACCCGGTATGACAAATCATGGAGCCCATACTGTGATCGATGTCCAGAGACACGCGGAGGGGGCTTACCATATGAGAGTTTCTAGTGGTCCCTACAATACTTTGTATCAGGGTGGCTGTAGAGCGCTGTTTCGCGCAGGGTATGATCCCTGGTACAGTGATTTTGACTTGTGAGCCATGCCTTGCCTTTCTCCGCACGTCTTCTGGTTCCTTCCGAACGGGGAGCCCCCGATCGGATGGCTCCAGTCGGCTCTTAGTGCGCCGGTCGGAGAAGAGTGGTGAGCAAGCTTCCTACAAGCCCCGGTTGCGGGGTCGAAGTAAGAAGCAGCGTTTTTGGCCAAGCCTTCCGATTAGAGAGACTGCTTGTAGACGGCTGGTGCTGAAGCGAGTGCTCCGATCGGAGAGGTGGCCTGAAGAAGTTGAAGAGCGGGTGCCTTCTTTTAAGGGTAGACCTTCCGGTCGACGACCGGACCACCCTTCCGGCCCGCTGTGTTTTTAGTTTTTTGGGCCGGCCCATGAAATATATGTTGTTTTCCTGGGCGGAGCCCGGGCGTGGAAGTCGATCCTCGAGGGACCCCGGGTTTATGAGCTCGACAGCTCGGTTCCTAAAATTTCTTGGAACCGATCGGTTCCCATTTTCTAAACCGAATTTCTGCCCAAACCTACTTCAAGGACGTGATTAACCCCAAAAGTAAACTTAAGAGTTGAAACAACTATTTTGATAATTCATATTCAAAATTTAAACGTCTACTTTGATAATTCATACACAAAATTAAGCATTAGTGAAGGATAAAAATTGCTATTCCTCTTACCGCCCCTGCTCGTTTTTTTTAGAAACCCGGCCCTGCTCGATACGCTCCGAGGCTTTAGGCCTCTTGCGGTCTTGCCCACCTGGCGTAACTTGGAAGCCCATAAACTTGCTCCATCGACTCCCGCACCGGGAATGAGGCCCTTCTCGAACTCAACCGGCAGTCCTCGTCACTCCGGCCGACCTCGCCTGGCTCGGTCCTATCTTGCTCATAGACTCGTCTCCGGCCCTCCTGCAGTCCTGCGCCTCCCACTCTGCATCACGATTCGCGATGCAGCCTGCTGAGAAATCGGTGAGACGAATGCTGCTGCCCCGGCTCGGCCGTAGTGCCAACGCTGTGGCAAGCGAGAATGCGAGATGGCAGCCGCGAGCGCAGGCGTGCCACGGCTGCCACTGTGGTCGGCCAGTCGCTGCTAGTGCTAGCCTCAACGCGCGACCCACCGGCCACCGTGGCGTGTTTCAACTTTCAAGGCTGGCCTCCTTCACACAATTTTCTGCTGCGGAGGGCGATCCCACCACCTGCTCGTGCAAATGGGCAGTACGGCCGGCCACAACGGCACCGCCCCCTTCATCCACCAGATTACTCTGGGAGCTGGGAACCACAACAGCTAGCGGTGGGAGCTGGGAACCACAACAGCTAGCGGGGACCATGAGAGGATTGGCATTAGGGGAACCGAATTCCAGCACTGAGCTTCTCTTCAGCTTGACTTATGGTTTTAGCTAGGCATTCGACAAGAATCAGGAACATGCAGCTCCTTGCTGACGAGGGTGTGGGAAGCTCAGGAGGAGCAGCGTTTTTTCTACCGTTGCATGTGCAGATATGCTGAGATCCATTTCTTGGAGCCACAGGTTGATTACTATGTAGTCTTTTGTCATGGAGCCATATATCTTCTATCATTCTTTTACCTCTGAATGACCTTCTATGACCACGTTGTGTTCCTGTCAGAAGAAAGAAAGGCAATCTTCTCCATCTGAAGTGGATGCCACAGAATGGCGCACATTTACACACCGACGGACGGCTATTGCCTATGGCTATGGATTCACTTCTATCTTAAAGGTCAGAACTATGAACTGCCAGTTCGTCTTGTAGATGTATCACTGATTAGGCTGCTAACTAGATGCTTATATCATCGTGCTTTGAGCTTTTTGTAGGCATTGCTCAAACTCAATAGTCATAGCTTTGTCTCAAATGGTGTAAAGCCGTGAATCTGATGAACCAAAGTGCTCGATAGGCTTTGCTCCCACATCATTTGAGTACTCGAAGTTGCACTCTACTATGCTTATTACACAGAACATGAGTCAGAACTCAGAAACCATTGGAGAACTAGGAGGACCAACTCTACTTTTATCTATGCACTTGCACATTCCACAACACAGAAACTATTGTGTTACCTCTTTTTAATTTGTCATGCTTTTCATGGGAATGGTGTGAAACTCTGAATATAATAGCACGTGTGATCTGCTAAACAATTGGAATATCTGCCAAGGTGGAAATGGAATAGTGCCATAAATCTGCAAGCTAGGCATGTTTTGAAGTGAGAAACAGTAAGGAACAGATTAGACACCGAGTTCCACTATATTTGGTTAAAAGGGAAGGTTTGATGTACCTAAAAAAATGTTTGACAATATCATTTAGATGTATAGGCAAACCTTTCTGGCCACAGTTCTGGTTCACAAAGTGCTAATCATTCTTCGACATTTCTTGGTCAACTATAAGGCATAAATAATGTGTGGTAGGTTTAGCTTTCTACCTACCAATTTGTGCATTAGCAGTTTTAGGCTGATATTTATAAGTTGACGCATGGATCAAACGGGGTCTAAAAGCTTAAATGTGAATAACGTTTATGCCTAGTGAAAGCTGGGTTACCCTCCGGTGGGTGTGCATGTTAGGCACAATAAGATGGGACCATCCCTGGAATATCTCTGATGGCAACAGGATATTGATGATGTTCCCCTGATATTGGCTGACACTGACAGTTAAGTCAGATGAGTGCAACATATGATTGAGCAGAATTTTGCCTTCAATCTCTGGTGGCCCTGTCTTCAGGGTTCTCTTTTGCAAAATCCCCAAACTTTTAACGTCCCAATCCCGTGTTACGATATTGTTTAGATAGTCTAATTATCTTCCCTCTAAAAACTAATTGAGCTCTATATATTTTTTGCTTTCCAACTTGTTGGGTGCATGAAAAATATCACATGGGTGTAAATTATTTAAAAAAATCTATGATAGACTATATCCAGAGAAATATAGGATAGCTAACACCAAGGACCAAATTCTGCATTGGCCCCGAGAGGGGAATGCTATCAGGTTGCCTATGAACTTTTAAGAATACAGTTACGATGTTTGGTTCAGATTGTTAGGAAAAGTTAGCTAGGCTAACCGTATACAAGAAAACTTCTAAGGTACAACCGTACAAGAGGGGAAACATTGTTCACTCGCTCATTCTTCCTGGAGTTCTCTTTTGCTATGTTTCTAAACCAATGATCACTTCTATGGTATGGTTTTGATCTTTGGTTCAGCTGAAAATATGTTGTATAATTACTGGTTGGATTGGTTATTTGAGGTTTAAGGAACTACAGCAGAAAAAGAGAGTTCATGCATGCTACTACTAGGAAAATATGTTGCTCTAAACCAAATGGGCATGAAAAACGATTCCAAAAGTATTGGTGATACAGAATATGCTACCATCAACCATCCCACAGGATTTCAGCTCAAACGATGACTTCACAACAAACCGTAATTGATATTTTCTTCTTCTGTTTGTTTCAAAAAAATATTTTCTTCTTCTGATTCCCTAACGTTTTCCCCTCTTCCTCCACAAGTCATTGATTGATTTGTATTGTAATTTATGATCGAATGCTTGATGGCAGTATACTGCACGTTGATGGTTTTTTCTTTCCAATTTTTCATGACTATCAAGTGGCGTTTCAAGGCTTGAGCTAGTTCCTGAAATTCTGTATTGTCCAAATTCCCGCTTATACGAAGCTGAGGTGCTTGGATAAGAGCCAAGAGGGGAAACGGATTCATAAACTCTGTTGCCTAGGCGGCTACCTACGCCAACGCCACTTCAGATGTGCTAGTCAGGCACCATTTCAGCCGGTTTGTGAACTAACCGACTTAATGGCCGTCTGGCTCCCGCTGAGTGCGGCGGCAAACCTGAAATGAAATGCCACAATCTCCTGCGCTGTGCTCGCCGGAGCCTACCACAGATGCCGCACCAGCCATTTTCGTGACCGTCGCTGTCCCCTGGCGCGGCGGCGCACACATGCTCCCCAGACACCCAGCCACTCATAATGCACAAGCACAAAGCGGGTGGAAAGCCGTCCGTTATGCGCCGCGCAATCATGGCATCCCGGCCGGAAGACATCTGCGGCCTTCATTAGGCCGTTCCAACCCACGGCAGACATGCCAGTCCACAGCCACTCTAACCCTGCAGACGGCAGACTTCTCTCTGCACTCTCTAGCAGGTCCAGCTCTCTCCGTTCCTCGCATAATAATTTCGATCGATCGAGCTAGAGGATGACAGATGCCACTTCCATGTAGTAGTAGCTTAGGCACAATATTAATCTAGCTGGCTATCGTCATCCCCCGGTGCCGGTGGTTAGTGGCACTGCCCTAGTGCCTTTCCGTCGAGGACAGGATGAGGGTGCGCATGGCCATTCTCCTCCTGTTCCTCTTCCAGGCCGCGTTGACGTCGGCGGACAGGCGTGCCGTGGACCTGCAGCGGGAGAAAGCCACTCTGCTGGCTCTGAAGCAGGGGCTCACGCTGCCGTCGGCAGCGGCCTTGGCGGACTGGAACGAGTCCAACAGCAACGTCTGCGGCTTCACCGGCATCACCTGCGACTGGCGGCGGGAGCACGTTGTTGGGCTCTCTCTAACAACATGGGCATCACTGGCGCTATTCCATCAGTCATTGGCGAGCTCTCGCACCTCCGGAGCCTCGACGTGTCCAACAACAACGTCTCTGGCCCGGTACCGACGTCCGTCGGCAACCTCACGCGTCTCGAGAGTCTCTTCATGAACAACAACAATATCTATGGCACCACGGCTTCCATCTTCAGCAACCTGTTACCACTCCGGAGGCTCCGGAACCTCGACGTCTCCTACAATCTTATCATCGGTGCCATTCCGCTGGCCATCGGCAGCCTTGGGCAGCTCCAAAGCCTCAACGTCTCCGACAACATCTCTGGCACCATCCCTCCGTCCATCGGCAACCTGACTCTCCTTGAGTTCCTATACATGCAAGACAACTTCATCTCTGGAGGCATCCCTCTGGCCTTGAGCAACCTAACAAGCCTCAAGGTGATTGAAATGTCCGCCAACAAGCTGACGGGGCAGATTCCAGCCGAGCTCTCCAACCTCCGGAACATTGAAGCCATTGACCTCGGCAGTAACCAACTCCACGGAGGAATACCACCTTCCCTTTCCGAGCTGACGGACATGAGCTATCTCGGACTACGGCAAAACAACCTATCCGTGACCATTCCACCAGCTATCTTTCTCAGCTGTACACAGTTGGGCCTCGTCGACGTCGGCAATAATAGTCTTTCTGGCGAGATCCCCCGCGCCATCTCGAGCACCAAGTGCCAGTTCGTCGTCATCAACCTCTACTCCAACAAGCTCCAAGGGACGCTTCCACGGTGGATCGCCAACTGCACTGATCTGATGACGCTAGATGTGGAGAGCAACTTGCTGGACGACGAGCTGACTACGAGTATCATCTCGGGCAAGAAGAAGTTCATGTACCTGATAGACTCGTAGGACCTCTAGGTACAGATCAGTGGAGAAATTCTTAACTTAGACAAGCGGTAATGTACCTCGTCGAGTGCAGTCGCGGCCGTGGCGCCGCCAACAAGGTGGCCGCGACGTGTCGGTGTAGGGGAAGCCGTGTAGGCGCCCGCTGGGTCATCGACGGTAGCAGCAGCCTAGGTGCGGACTAGTGGCGACGGTGAAGGCGGTGTGGACTTCCCGTCGCTTACAGCGTGTCCTTCTAGATCGGACTAGGGATAGGAACCTCGGTGGGGCGCTGGCGGCTATGGTGAACCTCGTACCTTGCGTCTCGGCCCCCACCTTCCTCTTTATAGCGGTGCGCGACGGGGGGCCATCAACCAGGAGAAAGGTTGGGCGCCCCCGGACCCCGATCAGGACGCAGATCAAGGGCCGAATTGGCCGTTGGGCTAACTGGTGGAGATCAATCTAACATTCTCCTATTTTATCTCACCTTATGACTTAAACTTAATTTACTTTATCTTTTTCCCATTCTATCGCAGATCAGTGCATAGAGCGTGCCTCATCGTCACGGTCAGTTGCCATTAGATGAAACAGCTACAATGCACCTCTATGTTTTGAACAGATTCTCAACTAGGCCCTTAATATCCAGAAATCATAGGCTTTCCTGTAAACATATGTCAATTGTGTGTTCTCTGAACGCACTGGGTGGTTAGCCTTTGGTAAGCGGATCCGCAAGTACTTGCTTGGTACTTATATGCTCAATGATTTCAAAATGATTCTAGGTTTTTTCCTTTACAACATATAACTTAATGTCAATGTGTTTGGTAGCACACTTGACCTGTTGTCTTAGAAGTTAATTACTTTAAATGGTTATTGCTGTTGACTACCATTGTTAAATTCGGGTACATATTCCCTTAACCACTTTTACCTGTTCCTGAGGCCTCATGACAAGCTATACTATGGTATGCATCATTGATGACATCACAGTTGTTTCATTGGAGCTTTTCCACAATAATACTCCAACTGCGAGTGTTAGCGACTACTGTGGATTTCACTACACATCTCGCCAAAACTTAACATTTGTACCCACAACTATTTGAGAGTACTTGTTCTTTCTTACTTAGCATGAGGCCTATGATACTTTGCAAAAATTGCAAGATATTCTTAACTCTATTCCAGTGATCTATACCTGGACTGGACTTTTACCAAAATATCCTGTATACGTAAGCTACGTCAGGATAAGTTCTTACTTGTACATTCATTAAGCTTTCAACAACTGAAGCATATGGAACCATGTTCATTTGATCGATCTCATATCGGTTCCTGGAACACTAAAAGTTCCTAAATCTATTACCCTTGACTATAGGAGTAGGCGTAAGTTTACTCGCATGCATACTTTATTTTTTTAGAATCTTTTCTAAGTATGCCTTTGCGATAGTCCTAATACCCCTTTTCATCTATCTCGATGAATTTCAATTTCTAAAACCAATGAGGCTTCACCAAGATCATTCACATTGAAACTTGAGGACAAAGACTTCTTCTCCAATGGCAGATTAACATTACTACTAGTGAGTAGGATGTCATCTATACACAGGATGTGGAAAAGAATTTTCCATTCTACAATTTCGCATAAACGCTATTATCCTTCTCATTTTCTTTAAACCTAAACTTTCTTATCGTTTCATCAACTTCAAATACTACTGTCTAGAGACTTGTTTTAACCCATAAATGAATTTCTACATGCGGCATCTCATACGTTCTTTTTCTTCCACGACAAAACATTTGGGTTGTGCCATGTAAACGTTTTCATATAAATCCCCGTTGAGGAATACCGTCTTTACATCTATCTGATGTAACTCTAAATCGTAATGTGCCAATAACACTATTATGATTCTAAAAGAATCCTTACATGAAACTAGAGAGAAAGCTCTCATCATAATCTATTCATTCTCTTTGCGTAAAGCCTTTTGCTATAAGTCATGCTTTATATCTTTCCATATTTTCTTTGGAGTCACATTTTGTCTTGTAGACCCTTTAATAGCCTACTGTTTTGGATCCATTAGGAATTTCTTCTAAGTCCCAAACATCGTTGGTATTCATCGAATTTATTTCAACTTTCATAGCTTCTTGCCATTCAAACAAGTAAACGCTTCTTATAGCTTCTTCAAATGAGGTGGGATCACCCTTCATTTGAATTTCTTCACTAACATAGACTTCATAGTCATTAGAAAACTAGTTTACTAATTCTTTGAGACCTTCTGGAGCCTCAGCTACTGGCACTTTCATGTGGGGCTGTTGTTGCTCTTCATTGCCAAGAGGCAATTGATTCTATAGGCTCCTGTATTATAAGATGCTTATTTATATTATTCATCTTCTTCGAAAAGCCAACAACAGGTGTTGTATAAGTCATACAACATCAACAGGTATCGAGAAATTCGTTGTTTTGAATCACTGAAGTGGGCACGCAGTCCCGCTTCTCTTCAAGTCATAGGTCTCTACATACCGTGCTCCCCCAGATCGTCCCATCTTTTATAAAGATAGTGTATCTGCTAATTTCTTATTTGAGTTCAATCTGTTAAAACTTTATATGGCGTTTTAAGCACCGCTTTAATATCTTTGATGGTGACTACGCTATCTTCGTCTCGGAACTTTAAAAAATTTAGGAATTTAGTTGTTTCTCTGCTTAGGGGTATCATTGTTATGACCGATGGTCACATTCATCAAAATCTTTATCTCACTCAGTTTTTTACAAAATCTGTATCTCACTCTTAATGAAGAGTACACATTCATCAACATCTTTATCTCACTCTTAATAAAGAGTAGTTTCTTAATTAATCTTAATTCTTATTCTTAATTCATCTCACAATTCCCCCCTTGAAATATGGCATGAACCATATTGTCATAATTTTAAGAACTATTCAGAAAACTATGAACGAGGAGGCACTTATGACTTACTTCATTCACATGATTATGCCATGCAAATAAAGTTATTTCTTTATCCGTATAGGAGTACACTTTTCTCATTCCACTTCAAGAACTCGACGAGGTCTTTTATTAATTGTACTTTTGCAAGTCACACTTGCATCTTTTTCTTGTCCTTTGATTAGTATTGACCATGACAATGCATTTCTATTGTGCCATGGTCAATACTAGGATATCATAAGATCTACCCAAACTTCTCTCGCTATGCGGGATACAAAAACATATGAGTCATCACAAAACTTCTCCCGCCATGCAGGATTGACTAGCATAAGTACTATGCCAAACTTCTCCCCATGTGGGATAAATCTATATACAAATTACCGTAATGAAAAATTTAGTCATGATGACTAAAACATTCACTTATACTTCATTTTTCAATTAAATCTTCCCGTTGGTTCCAATTTAATCATAAAATTAGTAAACTAACAAAAAAACTATCCTGGACTGGCTTGACTCAAGCCTTTTTATCCATATACCCCAGCATTGTAGCCCGTTGGCATGCAACCGAGTGATCTCGTCGGTTAAAAAATAAAACTTACAAGATGCTTCTGCGTCAATTCTACATCACCGTTAGGTAGAAAATAGAATTAATGCATAAAACTCATAAATTAACTTGAAAGACATATAACTACTCTTCAAAATTAAATTCTCCTGTTGGTTCGAATTTAATTAGAAGATAATCAACATCATTGCAGCGAAACACGATAATAAAATACATTCTATTAGTTCAGGAGCATTTCTTAGTCTTTATCTACTCTCTGAAAAATTGACTATATTGGTGTAAAATTTATCAGAGATTTAAACTTCAACCTTAAACTCATTATAATATTGTTATCATCAAGGTTGGTCAGAAAATAACAATACCATAATTTAACATAAATAAATCGGACTACTCCTCTAATTTAAATTTTTTCGTTGGTTCTAATTTAATTAGAGGATAAACATAATCATAATTTACTAAAAGTAACGGCTCTTCAAATTAAATTCTCCCGTTGGTTCGAATTTAATTAGAAGATAATCAGTCTTAAACTTTGCAGTGAAAACATGAAAAAATAATTTATCTACTTTTCAGAAGCATTTTGTTGTGTACTTATCTACTCTCTAACCAATTTATCCCGTTGGTTCAAAATTGAATAGAGATAAAAAACTAATCAAAATTCATCAAAATTCGCTTCTGAAAATAATAAGCAAATTCACACTCATTATTGTGTATTCGGCCCGGCCCGGGGAAACAGTGCGCGGCCCATTTCTCTGCGCATCCGCGCGCGTGGCTCAGCGGCAACCCGACGGTGGCCCAGCGGCCAGCTTCCTGCGCCCAGGCGGCAACCTGGGCCTGGGCCAGGATTTTCCAACCCCGCCTGGGCTGCTTTTGGCCTGAATCTCTCTGAGCCGTCCATCTTCATCCGACGGCCAGCCTTCATTTTCACGAGATCAAAACCCGATCGCCTTGGCGATGCGCCCTAACCCTAACTCATTTCTACCTTTCTTCTTCTCTTTCACCGTCGCAGCCAGAAACGAAAGGAGCAGCGGTGTAGCGGCGCCGCCGCCGGTCCCCTCGCCGGCGTGCGCGCTAACCCTAGGCTAAGTGCGCCGCCATCGAGTGGTCTAGGCGATGGTGCCCTAGTCCCCCATACTCTATCCCTCTCTTCGCCACACACCATAGCTGCCACACCCGAGATCTGAAGGGCGGGCGCGATGCAGGAGGTGGTGGTGCCGCCGTGGCGCCCTTCGCCGGTGCTCTTTGCGCCCTATGCACGTGTACGCGGCGCCGCAGAGCGCCGGCGAGGCGGCATTTCTCTTCCAGCGTGCGTGGTCTTCCCGCACGACGGTGGTACCGCCGGAGGTGAGGAGAACCCGGGTAGGTCTCTCCCCTCGCCGACCTCTCTTCTAGGGTTAGGGTTTGGGTTTCGATCCGATTTGAATCACTTGATTCTTGATTTCTATTCTGTTTTCTACCCCAATCTGCTAGATCTACACACTAGGACCATGGCTCTGATACCATTGACAGACTTGTAGGACCTCTACGTGCAGATCAGTGGGGAAATTCTTAACTTAGATAAGTAGAATTGGTAATGTACCTCGTCGAGTGCAGTCACGGCCGTGGCGCCGCCAACAAGGTGGCCGCGACATGTCGGTGTAGGGGAAGCCGTGTAGGCGCCCGCTAGGTCGTCGACCGTAGCAGCAGCGTAGGCGTGGACCTGTGGTGACGGTGAAGGTTGTGTGGACTTCCTGTTGCTTACAGCGTGCCCTTCTTGATCGGACTAAGGCTAGGAACCTCGGTGGTGCGCTGGCGGCTACGGTGAACCTCGTACCTTGCGCCCCGGCCCCCACCTTCCTCTTTATAGCGCTGCATGACGGGAGCCCATTAGCCAGGAGAACGGCTAGGCGCCCCCGATCAGGGCGCGGATCAAGGGCCCAATTGGCCGTTGGGCCAACTGGTGGAGATCAATCTAACAGTACCTGCATTTGTCTAACAACAGTTTCTGGAGCCACGATGACAACAGCAACTTGGATCCATTCTTCGTCGCGCTGTCAAACTGCACGAGCTTACAGGAGGTGGAAGCCGCCGCCGTGGGGATGGGTGGGCAGCTGCCAAGTCGGCTGGGCTCGCTGCTCCTGAGAAACATGTGGCACCTCAACCTGGTGTTGAACGCCATTGACGGCCCGATCCCGGCATCTATCGAGGATATGACCTGCATGACGTTGCTGAACCTGTCGAGCAACTTGCTGAATGGGACGATCCCAATGTCCCTCTGCCGTCTAGAGAGCCTAGAGCGGCTCGTGCTGTCCAACAATGCCTTGACAGGCGAAATTCCAGCGTGCATTGGCAATGCCACACACCTCGGCGTCCTCGACCTCGGCAATAACCATCTTTCTGGCGAGATCCCCCGTGCCATCTCGATGAGCACCGAAGGCTGGTGGTTTCTCGTCCTCAACCTCTACTCCAACAATCTGAGAGGGACGCTGCCACGGTGGCTTGCCAACTGCACCACTTTGATGATTCTATATGTGGAGAACAATTTGTTGGACGACGAGCTGCCTACGAGCATCATCTCGGGCATGAAGGGCTTGATGTACCTGGATTTGTCTGACAACCGTTTCCGAAGCCACGACGACAACAACCTGGAGCCATTCTTCGCAGCACTGTCGAACTGCACGAGCTTACAGGATGCACGGGGGACATTGGACGAGTTGCCGAGCTGACTCATCTCGATGATGCTCTCATCCCTGTCTCAGCACTTTTTGCCGAGCTGGCTCATATCGATGATCTCATCCCGGTACTTGCTGCAGATTGTGCTGTCCAACAACGCCTTGATGGACGAGATCACGCCGTCCATTGGCAACTCCACAAACCTCGGTGTGCTGGACCTTTCAGGCAACATGCTCTCAGGGAGCATCCCGAGCAGCATCGAGAGCCTTGCCGAGCTCCGTGTTCTCTCGCTGCAGAGGAACCAACTGTCGGGGCAAATACTAGTAGAGAGCCTTGGCCGTTGCACAAAACTGATTCGCCTTGACCTCTCAAGCAACCGCTTCACCGGCTCCTTAGGGCATGTATAGCCCACATACATGGGGTTGTCTACAAGTTCCTGGAATCCAACACACAGACAGCTAAATAGACAGATCGTACAATGGGCTGTTTATTTGATTGTCTGCAAGCTGTTTAATGTTTTCATATAGCTATGATCAAGTATAAATATGATTCCTGTATACCATTATGTGGCTAGCTGATCATATAAACCAATAATAAACTCACGCTAGCACAAAAAAAAAGCATTCATACTATCAATTGCTCTACTTTTCCTGTTGCTGTTACTGTTATATTCAGAAACCTGTGCAGGTAGCATCCTGATGAGTGCCCTCACTGAAATTTCAGAAAACATACAGGGACCAGAAATCTGTACAGGGAACAGAAACCTGGGATGATCACTACAAGTAAAATGCACAAGTACAGCTACCACTTGTCATCATTCAGTTCACTAGAAAACAAGCAAAACTGTCATTTCACATTCAGACTCACACTATCATGTAACATTTCACACTGCCATTTCCAGAATCAAACAGAGAGTAACATACTACATAGTTAATGAGTCATGATGACAGCAATAGGTAATGAGTCATGATGACAACAACTAGTCTCATCTTGATCTTCTGGTTCACCAGGTACTTGTAACTGCAGAGAAGAAGGCAGCATACTTTTAGAAGTGACAAGCAATTCAGTTAGACTGCAATTGAAAGCTAGTTTCAGAAGTTCAAAAAATAAGCTATTTTCAGAGAACTTTAATTACAGAACAACAAAACATTCAGCCTAATACATACATAGTAAATTATATCAAATGAACCTGAACATTCATACAAAAGTCAGAACTTCAGGAAAAAGCATAAATTTCTTGAACCTGAACCCATAATTTTCAGAACAAGTAATTCTCAATAACAAGTTTTTAGTCCAAATTTTCAGATAAGCTACAGCTTGCAATATTTTCAGATAAGCATTTTCAGATCGTAGGTTCATGATGGACAGATGACAGAGAGGTAAAGAAATATGAATCTCAAGTTTCAGAATTGCATCAGCTACCATTTCACAGTTATAGGTGAATCCATTTCTATGTGTGCCTTCAACAGATCAGTAGCAGCTAGCATTACCTTCTCTAGCACTTGTATGACACATCGATCAGGCATATTCTAAACTATTTATATCGTTTATGTTTCAAAAAAAAATTTATATCGTCAGTGCCAGCGTCCTACTAGCTAGCTCCTAACACTAAACTAACAATGCAAGTGAGTTGAATATTGACAATGGGTAAGACAATGGGTAACCCGGATTACCGGATCTTTCAAAAAAAAAAGACAATGGGTAAGACAGCGAAGTGCGCAAAGCTGGACTAATCAGTTGTGCATGAATCAGAGCATCAGTGTTCAAAGTTGTACAAAATGCTAGTGCTGACAAAAGTTGCAGGTGCTATCTCAGTACCAAATTTCAAATCCTAATGCTGACAAAAGTTGAAGGTGCTATCTCAGTACCAAATTTTAAATCCTAGTGCTGACAAAAGTTGAAGGTGCTATCTCAGTACTGTAGGGTCGAGATGGCGGACCAGAGGGGGGGGGTGAATAGTCATTTCTAAAATTAATCGCGTCGACTAACCGAAACAAATGCGGAATTATAACTATCGGTCTAGCCAAGACTACACCCCACTATCTAAGTTCTCAAGCACCTTATAAAGATCCTAAAGAGGCAACAAAGGTGTTGGGCTAGCAAGAGCTCTTCTAACCAATCTAGCTTGCAAGGTCACACAAACATATGCAACTAGTACTTCACACAACCGAGGGAGCTCCTAAACAACTAGTGATGCAAAGCGCACAAAGCCACCTAAGCTCACTAGCAATGCTCAATAACAAGGCTACACAAGCCAAATTAGAGAGCGCAAAACACTTAGCTATACAAACTAAGCAATGTGACTAACAAGGTTACTAAAACCAAATTAGCCATGCAAGGGAGCTACTTCTATGCTACACAAGCAAGAAGGTAACTTCAAGCTATACAAGCTAACTAATCATAAGAGCAACTACACAAGTACAATGTATATGAAAGTAATACAAGCTTGTGTTGCGTGGAATGCAAACCACCGAGAAGATGATGAAGACAATGTTGACACGGTGATTTTCTTCCGAGGTTCACTTGGTTGCCACCAAGCTACGTCCCCGTTGTGTCGACCGCTCACTTGGTGATTCAGCGGCTAATTGGCATCACCCGTCAAGCCCGCACGTCGGGCACCGCAAGAACCTACCCCGAAAGTGAGGGTAGCTCAATGACACGTTCAACTAGAGTTGCTCTTCGCGATCCCCGCGGGGTGAGCACAATCCCCCTCACAAATCCTCCTCCGGAGCACCGCACAATCTTCTTGTGTGCTTCAACGGAGTCACAAGCCACCAAGCCGTCTAGGAGGTGGCAACCTCCAAGAGTAACAAGCACCACCGGCTTGCAACACGATCACCTAGTGCCACTTGATGCAACCTCATGATGCAATCGCACTAGAATCGCTCACTCATTCAATCAGATGAACACTATCAAGTAAGAGTGAGTTAGAGGGCTTCCAAGCACCACCACACAAGCCACCAAGGCTCTAGTGTGCTCAGCAACCGCCAAAGGCCAGCCCAAGGGTAAAAATAGCCGTTACCCCTTCACTGGATGTTTTTCGACATGACCGGACGTGCCGGTCATAATGACTGGACGCGCCAGGCCCTGCGTCCGGTCACGCATCCACTGACATGTGTCCGCGTGATTCAACCTTGTTCGTCAATCTCCAACGGTCGGCTTCCTCCCACGCGCGCCTCAGAGAAGATTGGATGTGCTGAAGCCTCAACCGGACGCAGCCTCCCAGCGTCAGGTCACGTGCGCGAGCGAGCGACGCAGCAAACGACCGGACGCGACGTTGAACTGACCTGACGCTCGAACCCCAGAGTTCGGTCATGAACAGAGAGCTCCTAGAGACGCTGAAAGATGATCGGATGTGTCAGGTCCAACTCGACCGGACGCAAGCCAGCGTCCGATCCCTCTCCCTCTATGCGCCAAGTTCAAACGCCACCACATCACCATGACCTGACGCATGAACTCTGTTCTGCCTGCGTCCGGTCACCTCCTTCTTCTCAGCGTCCGGTCATTGAATTGAGACGCGCCATTCTCTGCGCGTGATGACCGGACGCTCCCGGGGTGAGTTCGGTCACCCCAGAGCCAGAGTCCGGTCACTCACAATGACCTCTTTTCGCCTCCGTTTCTTCACCGAACCGAGTTGATCCACATCAACTCCAACTTCTTCTCCTTTGCAAATGTGCCAACACCACCAAGTGTACAACAACTTGTGCAAGTGTGGTAGCATTTCACAAACATTTTTCCAAAGGAGTTAGCCACTTCATATCATCACGTGACCGTATTGGTTCATCGATCTTCACTTCACTTGCTCTTCACCGTTGCTTCGGTCCATCAGCGCCAAGTCATCACTCAACTTGCCCTTCACACTTGCAATCGGTCCGTCGAGTCAAGTCTTGTCATGATCTTCTCTACCTTGATCACATGACTCCATGTCATGTATCATATGCAATGAGCTCCTTCATCACATGTGTGAACTCTGCAATATGTCCAAGCCATTTCACTTCCATGGTAAGTATTGCTCACACACCTATACCTATGGAATAATCACCTGTGTATCTCACTTTAAACACAATTAGTCCACCTAGGTTGTCACTCAATTACCAAAACCGAACAAGGACCTTTCAGTTTTTCTCTTTTTGGTAATTGATGACAACTCTACAAAGATATAGAAATTAATCTCAAATGGATTCATGTTACTTGCCCAAGCAATTTTACCATGTGTAAATGATTTTGGACAAGTACCACAAACTCAAATTGGTAGTATTAGGTCTCCTTACATCTGTGCTAGAGTGTTTAGTTTGAAGCTCACACATATGCATAGATTGGAATTGTGGGAGAGTAATTACTACCAATGATGCTAAGGTATAAAGAATTAACCTTTGATGCGTGATACCAATCGGAGTCACACTTTTAACACCATCCTTAGCACCATGAGTAGCTAGACAACAAAAATACTAGAAACCCCGAGAGATCAACATCATAAGCAAGGTTCTAGTACCACGTGTAGAAATACAAGTCTAGCTACCATCCTATGCATGCTAGTTATCATATCATCAATCAAAATCTACAACTAGCATACACCACACAAGCATGCATATCAAATTTAAAAACTTATGCAATGCAAGCAAGCACATGACATGCACATATCAAATGCCAACAAACAAGTTCATGAGCTTGCTCCCCCTACTTGTGTGATTCTCTTGTCAAAGAATTTTGATCCTTCTCAATCTTCAATGTTGCTCCCTCTTTGTCCATGTCCATGTCCAACCTCTACTTCTTTGTGTCAATCTCTCCCAAAGCTTTCATATCTTTGTACAATCTCTCCCCCTTTGTCATCAATTTCCATAAAATGTGTGCTTCTCATTGATGCAAAGGCTTGCATTGGGGTAGATGGTTGAGGCTTGAATCTTCATTTTTTATGGACACCACTTGTATAGCTCTTTAGACACCATGTGTAGGATCTTGTGACCTTGATATTAATTGTAGTGGGGCTCCTCCCCCTATGTCCAAGCATGGGTCATTCTCTTGATAATCTTGAGCTTTTCTAGATGAGGAAAGC